GGCAAGTCTACCGAGCACAGCACCCATGGCCAGCAGAAGCTCACTGGCCAGGATTTGCAGGCGCTGAAGTCAGCGTTCCGGAACTTGAACTGGAAATTCAATTTCAACTCCGACAATCCGGTGGGTGACTCGGCTGGCGTGACAAGCCAGGCGAAGGCCTTGCTTGAGCAGGCCATCCAGGCCTTGGACAAGCTGAACAAGGATGCCAAGGGCTTGATCGGCTCCTGGTCTGGGGGGGCGGAGATGCTTGCCGAGGTGAAGAAGGGCTATGGGGCTGCTCTCAACCACATCAGCCAAATGAACCACATCAAGGAGCTCGAGCAGTTCCAAGATGGAACCGCCGTGACGGAGAATGGCTTTTACGGGTTCATGAAGCAGGTTGCAGCCCAGACGGAAACATTCCACATCAGTGTGCAGAAAGCCAAGGGCGAGAACCGTGCCCGAACCAGCCGGGGCAGCAAGTGATTCCGAGCAGTGTCAAGTGCAGCCACACACAGCACCAACGAGAGTTGTTTCAGAGAGACAAAGAGAGAGATGTGTGCCCTATACCTTCAAAACCCTGTGGGTCTTCTCAAGATGTGTGAGGTGATGGCTGTCTTGAGTAGCATTCTCTACAGACCGCAGCATCGCGACACCACGAGAGGAAACAGCACCTTTCGAGAGTTCAGTTTCAGCCATGCAACTCCAAGAACTGACAAGCCTGTATGCCCTAAAACCGAACCCTAAACCTCATAAATGATACAGTAAAGCCTCTCAAGCCTGTATCCCCGATATATATATATATATATATATATATACATATATATATATACATATATATGAGGCCAAAGGAAAACAATTGCACCCAGAAAGACCCAAACCCAGGAACCCTAAGCTCTTTTAGGAAAGCAAAACCAGAAACCCGATAAGGCCTCCAAACTAAATGTCGAATCTCAGGCCCTATATAAGCCATCTCGTGCAGGCTGCCAGTTGTTCCAGAGCGTGCAGGCGTGGAGCCTAAACCCTAAACTCTAAACCCGAAACCCCAAACCCTAAGCCCTAAACCCTATAAACCCTAAATCCCTAAATCCCTAAATCCCTAAATCCCTAAATCCCTAAATCCCAGACCCTAACCCTAAACCCTAAGCCCTGAGAATTGAAACCCCAGCTATCTAAACCCTGGCAACCGGACGTTGATTTTTAGCTTGACTCACCAAAGGGTTAAGAGTTCCAAGGTCCTGACCCTAAACACTATATATGAGCAACAGCCCGAAACCCTAACCCCTCTATATAGCCCAAACCCTAACCTTTACCCTAGACCTGGCATAAGGTCTGCTCTTATACACAAGTCACACTCAAATGGTAGCTCGCTCGTGTCTTTCAGGGTGATGATTTTATATAACCTCTCAAGGTGTGGTGACATATCCCTCATGGTCAATGTCTCAGGGTGTAAGCCTCTCAAGGTGACATATCTTTCATGGTCAATCTCTCAGGTTGTGAAGCCTCTCAAGGTGACATATCCCTCATGGTCAACATGGTCGCTCAAGGTCGAAACTCTCAGGGCGTGAAAATCTTACGACAACCCTAAACCCTCAGCCCGAAACCCTAAGGCCTAAACCCTGAACCCCTATATATAAACCCTAAACCCTAAACCCTAAACCCTGAACCCTGAACCCTGAACCCTAAACCCTAAACCCTAAACCCTAAACCCTAAACCCTTCGCCTGTGCAACAACATATATTCGTTTCACATGTAGAATGGCTTCGAGAAAACGAAAGAGGAGTGGGGGGCACCGGCAGAGGCTCCAGCAGATCCATGCTGAGGAGTTGGGCTTCGAAGGGCCCCAGAGCAGCAGCAGTTTGGTTGAGCTTCTTCTCGAAAAGTGGTCTTGGGGCGAGATGTCTGCCCAGGATGTGCAAGCAATAGCATTTCAGGCTGTCAAGGACTTTGAAAATGGTGCAGATCTCAGCAGGCTCAAGGAGATCGGGGCAGCTGGGATTGCTGGAAAGTACCCCAACAAGGTCTATGCCCAGGTGTACAAAATCGCAATCGCTGCACGTGGCATTGCTCTTCCATCACCTTTCCTCACCAGAATTCCATTCAAAAGCCCGTGGAATATGATGATGCAGGCCGTCATGCTTCCTCATGTTCTTTTTGCATCGATTTTCGCCGATTACAAAGCGACCTGGGCCAAGTCTATCTGTCCGAGCACTGAAGCTGTGGAAGGCTTCTGGAATTCTATGTTGGCCAGCAAAAACCCGAACCTGTCGACACACATAACCCGACGGCGAAACTGGCAAACATCCTGTATACCACTGGCACTGCATGGCGACGGTGTCCCGATTTGCGGGCTTGGGAAGGGTTGGGTGCAGACTGTTACCAATTGGAGTTTCTATTCCCTTCTAACTACATCAACTGCAGTCGCCGATTCCTTGTTTTTTATATATGCCATGTTGGACAAAATGCGAAAGGATGCAAAAGACCTATCGGGCACTGCCCACCACTTTTTCCTGTTGCTGAAGTGGAGCTTCGAGATCATGTTTGCCGGGGTCTGGCCTGAAGCTGACTACTTGGGAAAGCAGTGTTTCGGACTTGTATATAAGCACTACATGTAGGTCACTGTAGGTCTCTGTGGGCCCGAAATATCCCCCCACCCTACACATAAATAAAGTAGAGGTTCCAAATTGTCTGAGGTATGCTCCGAACTCTCCCGAAGGCAAAAAATCGGGCAAGCAGCTTGCAGGCGGATACTGGGCCACACTGTGGTCTGTAGTCGGAGACCTAGAATACTTTGCATCGCACCTGGATGTACCGAGATCTACCCTCGCTGCCGGCCCCTGTTCTCGATGCCAGGCCACGAAATGGGGCGAAAGAACGTGGCAGGACTACAGGCCTACGGCCAATTGGTTGAGCACCGTTTTTACCCCTGCCGGATGGCGGGCTTTGCCGGCTGCGGCGAAGTCCAGCTGCCCTCTTTTCCACATGAGAGCTACTTCCATATGCAACCTGGGGTACGATTACATGCATTGCAAGTATCTCGGCGTCGACAAGAATACCTACTCTGCAGTGCTCTACCTACTCGTGTTCCATGTTTTGAGTTTCGGAAGCCCACAGGCCAACTTGGACTGGCTGTGGGCAGAAATCCAAAGGCACTACAAGAATCTTCGTCTACCTTCGCAGTTTCGATACTTGAATCGAATATCGATGTTTTACCGTGAAAGAAACAACTCTTTGGGTTTGCGAGGCAAGGCTGCAGAGATCCGATCTTTGGCTGAGCCTTTGCTTTTGGTATGGGCCGACAAAATGACAGCAGCCATCGAGAGTCACAGGAAGATACACTTGCTATTGAAGCTGAATTTGAGGCTGGAGCAGCTCTTGGTTGACAACAAGTTCGAGTCCACGTTTTCGGATGCGAATGCTGCAGTGTTTCGTGATGCAATGAATGGTTTTTGTCTCATTCAGGAGCAGCTTTCGCAGCACTTCTGCGACAATAGCCCAAGAATGTTCAATTTAACAGAGAAGTCACACTTTCTGCAGCATCTCGCACTGGAGGCCCATTGCCTGAATCCCAGGCTCATCTGGTGCTTTGCCGGAGAAGATGCACAGAGGAGAGTTCAGCGACTCAGTGCTGCCTGCGTGAAAGGTCAGAGGCCTGGGCAGGCTGAAGTCAAAATGTGCCATCGGTATCGTCTGGCCTTGCATCTGCAGTTTTGCAAGCATGGGCGTTGAGAAAGAAGCTGTGCACAAGAACTCCCCTTTCACTACACTCTACCCTTGGCCTTAAACTTAAATTCAAAAACCAAAGCCCCAACAAAGTATAGAGAGTCCTGTGTTTTCTTGAAGCACTGCCAGAAGCCCTGTGCCAGGATGGATGACTTCTTCGTGGATGGAGACACAGCAAGACACACCTTTGAGAGAGAAGAAGAGAGGAAGAGCTTTTGTGCAACATAGTCACTCATGAAATGTAGCAAGACTGAGGTTATGGTTCAGGGTTCAGGGTTCAAACCCTATAAATCCTAAACCCTAAACCCTAAACCCTAAACCCTAAACCCTAAACCCTAAACCCTAAACCCTAAACCCTAAACCCTAAACCCTAAACCCTAAACCCTAAACCCTAAACCCTAAACCGCTTCGAAGAATTACCCCGGAACACCTCTTTGCAAAAAGAGCAATCGAAGATCTCTCAGGAATTGCTGCTAAGATCACCCAGAATTTCACCATGCGAAGCGGTGTGATAGTTTCGTGTTGTATACCAGGATTGATGAGTGACTCCTTTTTTCACCCAGAAAGATCAGAAGAATTACCTTTACCTGTTAAGATCACACTCAAAACAGGACACGAAAACTTCCACAGCTGCCCCCCCCCCCCCAACTCATATATGTGTGTTAGATCACCCAGAAAGATCTGAAGAATTACCTTTACCTGTTAAGATCACATTCAAAGCAGGACACGAAAACTTCCACAGATGCCCCCCCCCCCCCCCAACTCATATATGTGTGCTAGACCACCCACAGCAAGATCTGAAGAATTACCTCTACCTGTTAAGATCACACTCAAAACAGGACACGAAAACTTCCACAGATGCCCCCCCCCCCAAAGCAAAACTCCCATCAAACTTCCTCTGTCACCGCCCCGAAACTTCTATCAAACTTTCTCTGGAAGCCCGTTTTCGCAGACGAAACTACTATCAAATTGCCGGTGCCAGCAGCGGAAGTTTAGGCGAAACTTCGAGCGAGTTTCGTCTGGTGACGGGGGCATCCGACCAGGCCGTCTGTTGTCGAAATCGTGATTCATCTGACGAATTCGACATTTTGGGGGGATTGGATTTCAACTGAATTTGTGTTTTTTGGTTCTGACGTTTCGACAGAACAACGTTCTGACGTATCAACAGGAAGTTGACGTAGCCAGGGTGCCTGACGAATCGTCAGGAATCTGTCTAACCTGGTCTATTGGGTAGCAAGGTACGTGGACCCGGAGGGTAAGACCCCAAATCACGAGCGCCTCATTTGCGCCGCGGGGAGGTCTGCTCACCAGCATCTTCGAAGTTCCAGCCGGAGCAGGCACACCGAGCTGACCGGGTTTAGGGTTTAGGGTTTAGGGTTTAGCGTTTATTAAAAATTCAGTCCCCGGCAAGCCCTGAGCTCCATTCCTAGGTTTTACAAGGAGGTTCCTGGGTCGTCGTATTTAGGGTTTAGGGTTTAGGGTTTAGGGTATAAGCTTGATTGGGGGGAGAGGGGGCGGTGCTCAGAACCTTGCTTATCACCACCCATGAACCTTCAAGTAGTCCCAAAACCCCTGAACCCTGAGTCAAAGCCTCTTGAACCTTGAACCCCCCCCCACCCAAAACCCTGGGTTTGGGGTTGTTGGGGTTAGGAACCTGAGGCCCCTAACGTATCCCCCAAACCCTACGTTGCCCTTCAACCCTGGACCCCACCCTCTGATGGCCATCTCTGAAACCGCAAAAACCCTAAACCCTAAACCCTAAACCCTGATCCGGGCTCACATCTTGTAGATGGGTCGGGAGCGCAGCTAGATCCGCAACGGGACCGCCGCTCGAAGCCGAGAGCTGCTGTGGTATTTGGGGTCTTGAGGAGTTCTTAAAGGCTGGGTAGTTCACCGTTAACCTTTCTGGTCATACCGAACCCTACTATATATCAAAGGTTAACCTTTTTTTGGGCTAGGGTGTTCCCTACGAATCAGGGGTAACTTGTTGGGGTCCTTATTATATCTAAGGGTAGTTACATGGTCCCTTAGTATACTGACTGCTGTTCCATTGATGATACTGGTCAGGCACGGCGAGACCGAAGCGGTTTTGAAACTCAGGGTGGAGACCTAACCCCTAAGCCCTAAACCCTAAACCCTAAACCCTAAACCCTAAACCCTAAACCCTTCAATGGGGACACGCTGTGCCTGTATACATCGGTTGGTTAGAGAGGGTTGGCAGTCGTGACCTTATTTCAATCCGAAGCCCAGCACGAAACATAAGCCTTCAGCCGGGTTTAGGGTTTGGGGTTTGGGGTTTAGGGTTTAGGGGTTAGGGTTTACCCTAAACCCTAAACCCTGAACCCTAAACCCTAAACCCCAGACCCTAGACCCTAAACATAAACCCTAAAAAACATAATGACCTTGATGAAGCGGTCTGGGTCGGTTTACCCCGGGTCATACCTACTACTTCAGAAAGGTAGCTACTACTAAACTGTAGGAAAAACCAGGGCCCACAGTGGGCCCTTATTCACTTTTTTAGGGTTTAGGGTCCCTCGCAAGCCTCTTTAAACCCAAAAGGGCACTTTTTTTATTCCTAGGTTACTCCTGGGTCTAGACCCTAAACCCTAAACCCTAAACCCCTAAACCCTAAACCCTAAACCCTAGACCCTAGACCCTAAACCCTAAACCCTAAACCCTAAAACCCTAAACCCTAAGAGTCCCAGGTAGGGTTTTTGTCTTCGAAATTGCCGGCAGCGCTTTCGTGCCAGGACGCCGCCTCCTGGGCGCAAGCTTGGACTGCGACCTGCTCCGGTAGGCCTGCTTGGCACCCCGGCGTAGGGTTTAGGGTTTAGGGTTTAGGGTTTAGGGTTTAGGGTTTAGGGTTTAGGGTTTAGGGTTTAGGGTTTAGGGTTTAGGGTTTAGTTCACAAGTGGTGCAACTAAGGCTATGCAGGGCTAGTTAAGCCTAATTAAGGTTATTTAAGGGGGGCTAGCCTAGAGGGGCTAGTATAGAGGGAGGGGTAGTAGGGCAAACCCATGGCCCACCCCTACCCTAAACCCTAAACCCTAAACCCTAAACCCCAAACCCCATAAACCCTAAACCCCATAAACCCCAGCCAAGGCGGGAGATGATGAAGCGGCCAGCGAGGCGCCTGGCGGACGCTTGGACAGGGTTTTAGGGTTTAGGGTTTAGGGTCTGGGGTTTAGGGTCTAGGGTCTAGGGTTTAGGGTTTAGGGTTTAGGGTTTAGGTATGGGGCCTAGGTGGTATTTTTTACAATTTTTGCTCTGGGGTTGCAGGGTCCATGTTGGGATGTTCCCCCTTATACTAACAGTCCTTAGTAACGATTGTGCTTTTCAAGCAAGCTGATCTTTTGCAGAGTAGCAGTTGCTGACGGACCAGCAAGGAGGTGTTGCGGTCAAGCTCAAGTTTTTTGGCTTTCCAAACCCCAAACCCTTAACCCTAAACCCTAAACCCTAAACCCTAAACCCTCATTCGTGCAAAGTGGTCAGCGAATGAAGGCCCCTTTCCAGCTTTTTTTCCAAAAGCAGTCCTGACCTCTTTCTCCCCCTACTCTAATTCCTACTAAGGACTGTTAGTATAAGGGAAGAACATCCCAACGCAACAAGAGTCCTTAACTGGGTAGGAGCTTGGGATATTGTATATTTTCCCTTGTTGGATTCATATTCTAAGGACATTTCCAGAGGGCCTTAAGGGCCATTCGGGTTAATCTCAGAACCGAATTCTAGAACACCTAAACTTACCTTTGGTGGGAAACCCTAGACCCGAGACCCTAGGCCCTAAATCCTTCACTGCAAGAACATGGGCTTGGGACGAACCTTCCGCCCCCCAGCCCTAACTTTAGGGCCCTTCAGGGACGGGGGGGGGGGGGGGGGGGGGGGGCTCCTGGGGGGCAGGTACCTAGGGAACCTCAGGGAATTATAGGGAAGCTTAGGGGCTTTTAGGGAGTAGTCCCTGTGTTGCACACTCCCCCCACTTAAGAACCATATATCTAGCCAAAGTCAAAGATGTCGAGACACGCATAGGTAGTTCTCTAAATTAGGGTCCTTTTGGGGTCCTTATTCTAAGGGTGCCGTACTAGACATATGTGTGTGTGTGTGTGCGTGTGTGTGTATGTGTGTGTTTTGATATATATATATATATATATAATAAATAATAAAGGATCCGAAAAGGGGAACTTGTGTCCCTTCCGACTGGTAAGGGCTTTATTGGGATTCGTTCTTGACCTTCAGCTTCGGATACAACACCTTGGAATGTTCCCCCCTTATACTTACAAACAGCCCTGAACAGGGATTATAGTTCCCCCTTATCATAATCCCTAAGGACTGCTCGTATACGGGGTCATATCCCAACCTACATCCCTAAACCCTTAAACCCCAAACCTGGCATCTTACCCTTGGATCCTAAGCCTCTTCCGAGGAGATCTTGCAGTACAACGGCCTGCCCGACAATCCTTGCAACATATGCCAGGAGCCCAGACCCCATAAACACCCACCTTTTGGGGATTCAGGGTTTAGGGTTTAGTAGGGGATCCGAAGTATGGACCCTTACTTCGGGTCCCCTGGTACAGAACCCTTGTATACAGTACACATACTAAGGGCACATACTTCGGATCCCGTTAAACCCCTCTAAACAAGGGTGAGGGACCATGCTAAGGGCCCATGCCAGCCTGCACGTATAGCCCCCCAAAGTCCCCTAAGTCCCCTAAGCAGGTTTTAAGTAAACTCATAACTGTGGTTATAACCCTAAACCCTAAACCCTGAACCCTGAACCCTGAACCCTGAACCCTGAACCCTGAACCCTAAACCCTAAACCCTAAACCCTAAGCGGGGTTACCAGTCGCCATGAACCTCCAACCTTAGATTTAGGTTCAGGGTGCACCTGAAGGCCTTTGATCCATCAGAAATGGTGGGGACTCCGGAGTTGAACCAAGTGTTCGGGTTTAATTAGGGTTTAATTAGGGTTTAGGGTTTAGGATTTAGGGTTTAGGGTTTAGGGCTTAGGGTTTAGGGTTTAGGGTTTGGGGCTTAGTTTTCGTTGCAGAGCCCCGCAAGTTCTCGTTCGCAAATTCGGACTTCGACCTCCTTGAGGTTGTATTTCGTAATTCGTCTTTCTGTAGTTTGTAGCTTTTTTCCATGGTTTGAAATGTTACAAATTTACGGGATGGGGGTGTGGGGCGGGGTTCCTAAACTCCAAAGCCGTAAACCCCAAACCGGAGAGGTTTGGGCCCAGATTTCGGTCCTAAGCATTTCTAGACAGCACCCCCCCCCCCCCCCCCCTCTCCCATCACGCTGAACCTAGACACCCTAGGTTTGGGGTTAGGGTTTAGGGTTTCGGGTTTAGGGTTTAGGGTTTAGGGTTTAGGGTCACGCAGCACGGTGAAGGGTTTCGCGAATACGGGTTCTCATCTGCAGCCTGAGCTCTAAACCCTAGACCCTAAACCCTAAACCCTAAACCCTTAACCCTAAACCCTGAACCCTAAACCCTGAACCCTGAACCCTAAGTCCCAAAGCCCACAAGAGTTGTGGCAACAAAACCCAAATCTGACCAGAACCCTAGCGGAAGCAAGCTGAACGCCCGAACCCAAACCCTAAACCCTAAACCCTAAACCCCAAGCCCCAAACTTTCAGAAGCCCTCAACTACCCACCCTTATAAGGCGGGTCCAATGGCTCCATGTATGAGAACGCGCTCCGGGGACCGTGGCTCGAGCGCATTGCGGATCTTCAGGGCTCGTTGTAGTTTAGTGTTTAGGGTTTAGGGTTTAGGATTGAGGGTTTAGGGTTTAGGGGTTAGGGTTTGCCCTAATCACAAAATTCATCGCCAGAACAGAAGCCCGATCGACCCTAACCCTATAAACCCTAAACCCTAAGCCCTGAACCCTAAACCCTAAACCCAAACATCTACCAACCCGGCCCCGAACTCGGGTCAGCGCCACCGTTCGGGACTTTCGGGGCTGGGGCTTGGGGTTTTCTCAGTTTTTGTGGGAGGCCCCTGCATCCGTTTCCTACAAATTGCTTAAGGACCACCGAAAAGTTAATAAGGGCCTTGTGGGGATTCTTATCTTCTATGTTTGTGAGATTCTCAAGCAAATAGTAGGTTCAGGTTGGAGTTCCTTCGGCGCTCTGACGGGGTCTGGGAGGCTTCTGCTGAGGCTTCGGGCTTGGTGCGTTCAAGATATTTTGAGAAGTCGGAGAACCCTAAACCCTAAACCCTAAATCCTAAACCCTAAACCCTATACGCAGGAGGGTTCCCCCCTTGGTTGTGAAAAGGGTATAGGGTTTAGGGTTTAGGGTTGAGGGATAAGCTATGAAGGCAAGGTTCCCGGCACTGCCCCTAAAGCCCTGTAAGCCCGACCTCAGCGGAGAGCCCTATACTTCCGCGCAGAGACCCCTGCACATGTCCAAGGAGGCACTACAGCCTCCTTTACCAGGTGCCTGGACTACCCGAAGGCCACGTTGGGATGTTCCCCCTTATACCAACAGTCCTTAATAGGGTTTAGAGTATCCCCTGTTATAATCCTTACTCAGGACTTACACTAACAGCCCTTAATAGGGGGATTCAGCCAGCAGTGCAGGTTGAAGGGTTTAGGGGGGTCAAACGAGGGGCTTGAGGTCTTGTGTCCCCAAAGAAAAAATTCTAGGCAGGTAGGGACATATGTTGGGTTCTGGGCAACCCCTCTTGAGAAGAAGGGTAGAACCTCAAAAGCAGGCACATTCTCCCGGACACTCATGTCGATTCCTTCTGGCAGCGGCGCGAAATCTAAACTCCTCCAGACCCTGAACTACCCTGAACTCCCTAAACTCCTTAAACTCCCTAAACTCCCTAAACTCCCTAAACTCCCTAAACTCCCTAAACTCCCTAAACTCCCTAAACTCCCTAACCCCTAAACTCTCAGCCCCGGGGCTATCTTGAGGGGCGGCTGGGTCTACCTACGCCGTAGATGAAGCTTTCACGCCTCAAGCCATAAGCTACACTTCGGGTTTCTTTCACCTCGGCTTCCAGGCCGCTGCGTTCAACTGTGTAGGTTTTGAGTCGCACTTCGAACGCTTTAGGCTGAACGCATGGGTGTTGCCCTATACCCTAAACCCTAAACCTAAACCCTAAACCCTAAACCCTGTTGGTGTCTGTAGGCTAAGTCCCTGGAGCTCAAGCCCTCAAACTCACGATGAACCCCTCCCGTCGCCCCATCGATGGCCGCAGACCCACGTCGGTATCAAAGTTGGCAACTGCTGCTTGGCCGAGCGTGCAATTCTGAAGTATGGAGTTTCATGGGGTATATACGCGACAGGTTCCGCAATAAGAAGGCCCATATTTCCCCGTGTAACTATAGTGAAGTAGACCTTCGAGTTTGCCTTTCTCACTACTTTTTGCGACAGAGCCAGAAGGTTATCTCTACGAAAAGCATGCTGGCTGGCTAAGATCTGCACGGAGGGTCATGGGTACTTCTGACCCCAATTGTCCCTTAGGATCCATGTACCTACATAGTGTATACTTGGGCCTTAAAGGGAATTGCTTTAGGGCCCAAGTATATGCTATATAGGTACATGGATCCTTAGGGTTTCAAGTCGACTTATAACATATTTAGGGTTTAGGGTTTAGGGTTTAGGGTTTAGGGTTTAGGGTTTAGGGTTTAGGGTTTAGGGGACTTAGAGGGCTTATTGGTACAACTTGTTATTGGGGTTATAAGTAGCCATGAACCTCCCGGAATTTCGGGTTTAGGGGTTTCAGGGTTTAGGGTTTAGGGGTGTAGGGGTTTGGGGTTTAGGGATTTCGGGTTTAGGGTTCAGGGTTTAGGGCTTCAGGGTTTAGGGTTTCAAGCAGCACTGCAGAGGACTAGCTGCGGCCAGAGTTCTCTCAACCCTAACCCCTAAACCCTAAACCCTAAACCCTAAATCCCAAGACTGCTCCAAGCCGGCCAGACCAAGGCCCGCCGGCGAGGTCGTGTTCGACCACGTCACGGGCGAGATCCGAATGTTGCGCTCGGCTACTGGTCTCTGTTTTTTTTTTTGTTTTCTTTCTGCTTTGCTTCTTCCCTTTTAAGGGTTTAGGGTTGGAGTTGTTTGTTTTTTTTTGTTTTTCTTTTTTTGCTGCGCTTCTTCCCGTTTTAAGGGTTTAGTGCGCTCGTCTACTGGTCTCTGGAGCGTTCTATTAGTTATTTACAGTTTGTACGTCGCTTCTTCCCTTTCAAGGGTTTAGGGTTTGGGGTTTAGGGTTCGGCTACTGGTCTCTGGAGTGTTTCTTGTTTTCTTCTTTTTTCTGCTTCGGTTCTTCCCTTTTTAAGGGTTTAGGGTTTGGGTTTTGAGGTTAGGGTCTCTGGACTACGAATTGCATAATAAAACCCAAAAACACAAAGATATTCCTCTTTATCAGGGCAATATATATATATATATACATATATCATTTTTTGTTTAAAATGCACTTTTGGGTGTTCTTCGACAAATGGTAGTGGGGTTTTTGGTTTTTGTTTTCTGCTTCGCTTCTTCCCTTTTTGAGGGTTTAGCGGTTAGGCTTAGGGTTTAGGGTTAGGATGTTTTAAAGGGTTTAGGTTCTCCGAGCTCTTTACACCCAAAGGGCACCCTGTTAATTCTAGGTTACTCTTGGGTCTAGTGGGGTTTCGGTCTCTTTCTTATGTGTAACGCTACGACAGGGAATGCAACAAATAAACCGTGGAATCCTACTACAGTGGGACATGTCTGTCTTCATGCCCCTTCCCAGATTTCCAAGATCTTAGCTTCTTGAGCGTAAGCGGCACCATTTTTGGGGCTTCTTGGCAGTCAGCCATTCTGTGAAAAAAACATAAACTATACTTGAGGATTTCAAGGCTAAATGCTCGTGCGCCTGGGCAATTGGGGAACATGTTGGCAGCCACCCTAAACCCTGCACGCTAAGTCACCCGATGCCACAGGATGATAAATAGCCTTTTCCAAGCCTAGGACCGGGAGTAGGCCCTTTTTTTTGTTTTTCTTTTTTTCGGGTTGGGGCTCCCTTATAATCCCATCAAAACCAAAAAGGGCACCCCTTTTAATCCTAGGTCACTCCCGGGTCTAGACCCTAAACCCTAAACCCTAAACCCTAAACCCTAAACCCTTGATGTTTTCCTTCAAGCACCTGGATTGTTCACTGGCCTTGTTGGAAAGGCCAGCATCTGGGGCACGATGATCAAGCATCATTTCAATCTTTTGCCTGGGTTTAGGGTTATGGGGTTTTGGGGTTTTGGGGTTTAGGGTTTAGGGTTTAGGGTTTAGGGTTTAGGGTTAGGGATTGGGGTTTCGGGTTTAGGGTTTAGGGCTTAGGGTTTAGGGTTTAGGGTTTAGGGTCTTAAGCCGAGCCCCGGGCTATGAGAAGCAGTTTCGCTGAGGCTCAGCGGACCTCGTCTTGGTGCGCGCCGCAGCCCTTCATGCCACCGCAGCCTCAGGCTTTCCCTAAACCCTAAACCCTAAAGCCTAAACCCTAAACCCTACACCCTACACCCGCTAAACCCTTCCGCAGCCAGCCGTACCGAAGGAGCCCACGGCAGCACCACAAGCGCAGCCCACCGCGCACGCTGCACGGCAGGCCTTCTGGTGTTTTTGTTAGGGTTTGGGGTTTAGGTTTCAGAGTTTAGGGTTCGGGTTTAGGGTTTAGGGTTTAGGGCTGGAAACCCTGCCCCCCCGAGAGCATGGGTGATGCGTGCTCTTAGCTTCCAAACCTCGCTGTCTAGCATACCTGCTAACTCCAACTCCCCTAAACCCTAAACCCTAAACCCTAAGTTCTTGGCGAACCTCTGCTTTCCCTGTGTTTGCTGCAGGGCTTTTCGATTCCAGCTCAGGCTCTTGCATCTTTCCGCCGTTTTTTCTCCGCCAACCCTCAAGTTTTGCTACGAAATCGTTTTTTGTTTCTGATTGTTTTCGACATTGCCGCGAGATGCCTCGAGAAGCCTCTTCGTTTCGCGGGAAGCAGAGTTGAAAATCGATGTCAATGCGGCCCAAATCCTGCAAATCAAGACCAGCCAAAACCTTTACCTTCAAAACGGGTTTAGGGTTTAGGGTTTAGGGATTTAGGGTTAAACTAGCGGAAAACAGCATCTGGAACTTGAAGTGTCTCGTGGGAAAGGGTTGCCTCAACACTCCTCGGAACATGTGTTGTAGTTTGAAACCAACTCCTGCATTTTTCATGGAAAAGATCAGGCTTGGCTCCGTATGTTCTTAATTCTATTCACTCTCCTTGCGGTTTGCCTTGTTTCCCTCTTATAACCCTAAACCCTAGACCCTAAAATTCTAAACCCTAAACCCTAAACCCTTTTGGAGAATTGGCTTCTTGTGACTCTCGGTGTTGGCGCGCATCGGGAACACGTGCAGGGGCAGATTTCAAATGGAAAGCCATCCAAGGCCCGAACGAGAGAGTTGATGTCCCCGAAAGCCAGGGGAGCAGGGTTTAGGGTTTAGGGTTTGCTGTGATATGGCGTAGATGCTGTGAAGAATTGGCTTGGTTTGGAACAAGCTCGCAAGCTTCGTGAGGCTCGAAGAGCAGCTTTGGCCCGATTGTGGAAGGCCATTTAGCACTCTTCTCCCACCCCACGCCGTCCGAGGCGGCAAAGCCACCCAAGCCTATTCCTTTTAGGGTCTAAGCCTAAAACTCAAGCCATGCTTACTTTCCATAAAACGTTTTCATTCCGTCACGCTTCTCGCCAGCCTGGTTCGAAATGCAGGTTCAGAGGGCCAGGTCCAAGAGGGCTGGGCAGAGGGCCGGGGTGCCCAGGGAGGCTGAGGGTGGCAATGACTTTAGGGACCAGCACTCGTCCCGAAAAGAACGTGCTCCGGCACCGGGCCCATCGTGGGTGCTACCGACCTCCGAGCTGTGGGAGGCAAGCGAACGACCGAGGGGCTTAGGCGCCGCCCTCCAACTGTAGGGGGGCGGCCTAGGCCTTGAGTTTAGGGGCATGTGGGAGCTTTGGCCCCTCGCAGTACTTGCAACACATGCAAGCCCAAAAGTTACATGACAAGAGTGATTTGGCATGCTATGGCAGCTTTCTAGCTGAGTCAGTCTGCAGCTTGCAGCTAAAAACAGTTAAACTAAGACCACTCAAGCCCTTGAACCGCAACAACATGCCCAGGACTATGCGCCGCAGCCCTCCGCGGGAGCTACACAGCAGGCCTTTCAGCCACATCAGCATGTGCCACAGCCCACCGCAACAGCAGCAGGACCACCACCACCACCCGAACCACAACAACATGCCACGCAACAACATTCCCAGGACTATGCGCCGCAGCCCTCCGCAGGAGCTACACAGCAGGCCTTTCAGCCACATCAGCATGTGCCACAGCACACTGCAACAGCAGCAGGACTACCACCACCACCCGAACCACAACAACATGCCACGCAACAACATTCCCAGGACTATGCGCCGCAGCCCTCCGCGGGAGCTACACAGCAGGCCTTTCAGCCACATCAGCATGTGCCACAGCACACTGCAACAGCAGAAGGACCACCACCACCACCCGAGGCCTTTGCACCACAACAACATGCCACGCAACAACATTCCCAGGACTATGCGCCGCAGCCCTCCGCGCGAGCTACACAGCAGGCCTGTCAGCAACATCAGCATGTGCCACAGCCCACCGCAACAGCAGCAGGACCCCCACCGCCACCGGAGTTCGTGCTAATGCAGCAGCCTGCAGCGCTTGAACCCGCCTCGCCGCGGCCCGCCGCGCGCGCTGCCCAGCAGGCCTTTGAACCCCAACAACACACTTCGTCCTGAACATTCGACAACCCACTTGTTGGGTGGACGGACAGCTTGCTGCCAATGGCTCGCACCCTCATGAACATCGCCAAACCGCCTAATGTTTCTTACTTGGAGGTTCATGGTACTGAATAACCAATAATAGCTGCACTTATCACCCACTTATACGCGTCTTAATTCCTCAATAATATGATGATAATTGGGTTATAAGTTATAAGTGCAATGACTATTTGGTTAGTCAGTACCATGACCCTCCAAGTAGAGCATTTTCGAGCCTACGCCCCCACTTGCACACCCGAACCGCGGACGTTCTGCGAGTTTCCCCATCCTCGGTGCCTTCCGTGCCACCCTAAACCCGGAACCCTAAACCCTAAACCCTAAACCCTAAACCCTAAACCCTAAACCCCGAGCTCCTTCAACCGCAGGCCTTAGGGAGTCCTAACCTGGGACCTCTCTTTTCCTTGGGGACGAAGTGAATCCTAAAAGGGTTTAGGGTTTAGGGTTTAGGGTTTAGGGTTTAGGGTTTAGGGTTTAGGGTTTAGGGTTTAGGGTTTAGGGTTTAGGGTTTAGGGTTTAGGGATAGCAATTATACGTAGCAGTATAGGGTACATGACACCAATTTTAGGGTTCATTTGGTCCCCAAGGTACCTACAGTTCTATGGGCTCATACTGACTACATAAGGGGTAGTTACAACTAAACTGTAGGTCCTTAAACCCTAAACCCCAAACCCTAAACCCTAAACCCTAAACCTTCAATAGGATCCCAGTCCCAGGAAAGTCTGGCCCTGCAAGGAAGCCGTTGCAGCCTCCCAAGCACCGCCAGCGCAGCCTCCTCTGCCGGCACAGGCTCCCGCCCTTGAACAAACAAGAACTGCAAGTTTAGGGTTTAGGGTTTAGGGTTTGGGGTTTGGGGTTTGGGGTTTAGGGTTTAGGGTTTAGGGTTTAAACGCGCAAAACAACACAAACAAACAGCTCACAACTCTTTATCTTCGGAGAGATAAACCCCGAACCTTCATGAACACTATAAGCCTCAATGCCCTACACACGGCAAGGTTTCAGCATCATTTTTAGTTGTTGATCACCCTTTTTCCCCTCCAAACCCTAAACCCTGAACACTGAACCCTAAACCCTAAACCCTAACCCCTAAACCCCTAAACCCAAGACCCAAAACCCTAAACCCTAAACCCTAAACCCTAAACCCCAAACCCTAAACCCTAAACCCTAAACCCTAAACCCTAAACCCTAAACCCTAAACCCTAAACCCTCCCCCCAGTGGAAAGAGGTCCGGGCGTCCCTGGCATCGCTTCAGGAGCTCGCGCTCTGAGATGCACTGGGTTTTGGGATGATTTGGGGGTTTGCGAAAATAGAGGGTTTAGGGTTTAGGGTTTAGGGTTTAGGGTTTAGGGTTTAGGGTTTAGGGATACTAGGGGACCCCGAGAATAGACCCCCAAATAGTAGGACCCCCTGATAAAAAAGGACCCCCAAGAAGGTTCGGGACCCTAGTAGGGTTTTAGGGCTTCGAGTTTAGGGCTTAGGGTTTAGGGTTTAGTGAGTTTTTCGAAAGGGTTTAAAGGCCAACCCACCGGCGTATGGTGCTTGTGTTGGGCTATTGGCTGTTGGTTTATAGGTTTCAAGGCATCGCCAAAGATTGATCACACCCAGGTTTTGTGCAAAGGTTAAGCAATAGGGTTTAGGGTTTAGGGTTCAGGGTTTAGGGTTTAGGGTGTAGGGTTTAGGGTTTAGGGTTTAGGGTTTAGGGTTTAGGGTTTAGGGACCATAGAAGGTCCTGCCTCTGCAGAGCAATTCCACTCCTAGACCTGGCTCGAGCGGATGAGAAGGAACTTGTATTAGGTGACCATACGTAGGGTACTTCGCTATGGACTGTAGAGAGCCCTATTTTGGCTACTTAGCTTAAGGTTCCTTCACAAGAGCCCCCGGTCCCCCTTATACCAGCAGTCCTTAATCCGGATCATAATCGGGAGTAGGGGTTCTATAATCCCTATCAAGGACTGTTTGTTTAAGGGGGAACATCCCAAGTTAGCTTCTTAACCAGAGCCCCCGTCAAGACATAGGGTAGACTTGGTCAGTTGCGAGGGAAAATTGTAGTACTTTGGGGGGGGGTTAAAAAAGGATTCTAGTATATGGCGGTAGATAGAAGGGATTGATTGTTTGGAAATACCAACTTTTATTACTGAACATGTTCCTAGTTGCTTATGGTTACCTAGTTCCACACATTCGTGAAAGATGTTGAAGCATATTGGTAGCTTTCTAGGGGGAGCAAAAAGGGGCCTTTCGAGGACTACCCGTGAAACCTAGTGTAGGGTGTCTAGGGTAGCTACACAGTCCCTTAATATGGTCCCTTGCCTCCTTAAAAGGGGTTCTGAAGTGTTGGCCCTTGGGTTTTATAGGGTATATAAGGGGTATAGCAGGGATCCCTAAACCCTAAACCCTAAACCCTAAACCCCAAACCCTAAACCCTAAACCCTAAACCCTGAATAAGGGGCCGCCTCAGAATCAGGACCCCCAAAAGGGGACCAGATTTGAGAGAAGTGGCCGCGTACCCTAAGGTCCATGTACCTAAATCGGGAATTAAGCATCTCCTATGTAGGGACTCTTGGGCACAAGTATATATTAGTATGGTACATGGACCCTTAAACCCTACACCCTAAACCCTAAACCTTAAACCCTAAACCCTAAATCCTAAACCCTTAGGGATAGACGTGAACCTGGTGGTGCCTGAGGTGGACGACCCGATCCCAATCTTCTATGAGTAGCTGGGCTGCGCATGGCGGAAGCTTTTGTTAAGTTTTGGGGTTTAGGGTTTAGGAGTTAGGGTTTAGGGTTTCCCAGAGGGTCCATGTATCTGATAATTGAGTACCCGGGGGGCCGATGCCAGCCTCAGGAAAGTAACGCGAAAGACCTTGTATATTGGGCACTTGGCCGATTCTGAGTTTTTGTAAAACTGCTGGAATGGTGGGCTCCAATGAGTACTAGTGAGAATTGGAGAAAAAATGGGTTTAGATCAGGTTCACGCCGAATATAAGGGAGCCCGAAACAAAACCTGAAATCTCGCAATAACAACCTGATCAATCCTTGGTGCAGGACTACGCCTTAGAAGGGTTAGGGTTTCAAGGCTGGAAGCCTAAACCTAGACCCTTAGCCAAACTCCACCCCACAAGCATCACCCCCAAAACCATGCCCATGCGCTGCTCTCCGTGGGCCTTTTCCTGCTGGTGGACATGGCGAACGAAGTGCGCCCGACAGACACTGCACCCCTACAGGTCATGCTGCAGGGTTTCGGCTTCGATGTAACTGGTCATGCTCGTTTCAGAGCGGTGATAGTAAAGGAGCCAGCAAGTTGGATCTCAGATAGCTGTACAGGGCTCCTTCTACTAATTCATGAAAACAGCGGCCAAGTTGAGGTAAGCTTTGGCCAGGGTTGTCCGGGGCATGCTCTTCTTGTGGCACTTGGCAGCAATTCCTTCGACATCCAGTTGCGCAATATATTTTTTCACCCCCCCCCTCCCCCCTAAAAAAACTATGAAAGCTATTGCGAATCAGGCACGAACCAACGAGCCCACATGGTCTTCTTGCCGGAAGCAATGATACTTCCGTGGATTGATTCCTTAGAGGTCTAAGCAAAGCGCGATTTGTTTTACTTAGCATAGCATATATTCAAGCCAGTTTCTTTCCGTCACGGCAAAGTAGGCGAGCTCTTGCCAGCCCTTATTACACAAGCACAAATCGCGAGAGATGTAAATGGAAATACTAGCAATCATGATCACAAAGTCGAGCACGCACAGGTGGCCACAACTTTTCCGATTAGAAAGCAAGGCACATGGATTTTCGGTTTAAGTGGCCACAGCACTTTCTCTTGTGCGGCGGCCCGTGAAGCGAGGCTCAGGTAGGCATGCAAAGACTCATCCTCAGCAAGTCCACCACTCTTGTACTACGACGATTCCCCCTAGACCCCAATTTTTATAAATCGTTTAGGGTTTAGGGTCCAGGAGTAGGGGCCTTAAGCTTAGCCGTAGCCTTGAAGCCACACAAACACAAACAACAACCAGGGAGTAACACCGGCCAAGAAACACAGCAACTGGCCAGCAGCTCCCCCTGTTCTTGCGACAGGTATCGCCCAGATCTCTCGCTGACATTGAACCACTCGGCGAGGTGCCACCTGGGAGGGAATAGTGCACCATGCTAGCTTTGAACTTTCCGAGGGTAAGGGGTATGATTGGGAGTGCAGGTCCACACTAGTGAAATCCCCCGAGAAAAAATCGCTAATAGTGCACCATGCTAGCTTTGAACTTTCCGAGGGTAAGGGGTACGATTGGGAGCGCGGGTCCACACTAGTGAAATCCCCCGAGAAAAAAACATCGCTCAGCCTAAACCCTAAACCCTAAACCCTAAACCCTAAACCCTAAACCCTAATCCCTAAACCCTAAACCCTAAACCCTAAACCCTAAACCCGCCTTGCTTGCAAGACATGTGTGCAGAAAACCCTTGTATGGCTGCATGCATGTGTGGCACAGAGCTTTCGCAATGAGCACCATGTCATCATCGGGTCCAAAATGCCCTTCGTTGATGATGTCGATGAGGGCAGTAGACAGCCATGCCAAGACAACACGGCCCTTGGTGCACACAAGCTAGCCCCAGGCCCACTAGCAGCAATTCAACTAAGTGAAGGGGAATGTGCTCGGGGACCCAAGTAGCATTGTAAGCCTTGCATTTGAAAACGGGCGCCAGCGAACTTGTACCCAGAGACAGGTTCGGTTGGCTGTGCCTGGGGAAGCACAATTTCAACATAACTTTAAAGGACTTAAACCCAACATATATGGATCCTATGTGCTGCAGGCTAAGGTACGGAATCTTGTGCAGCTTTGTCCAAGCCTGAAACTCTTTGAATGCCGACTTCAACTTGTCCTCCTCTTTGCCTCCCGGCCATTGCCCGGCCTCCACCAAGACCTTTAACGCCGATCCCACCATAAACTGCAGCAATCCAAGATTTAGGACGTGCATTGCGCACCACTTCAGCAAGCTGGGATCGAAGTTCTCCACTCGGAGCAGTGGGCCTGCAAAGTGCTAGAGGGCCCCATAGCATGCAACCAAGTTGGCCAAAGATATAACACAATAACCCATACGTTCCAACATTGAACCTTCGACGACATTCTATATCTAGAAAGCAAAGCCGAGAGCTCCCCCCCTACGAAGTGCAGATGGTTGACAATCCCACGGGCGGCAAGCATTGGCAGTGAAATCTTGGAGGTCGCGCCGGGGAAGCACGGTCGATGGTACTTGTGCGTAGCATTCTCGGGTGACGCCACAATGGTGACAGGCTGCACCGGAATTCCACCCAGTCCGCAGCCCCATCCATTCCTCATCAAAACATGCTCAACCAAAAGCCCCAAACCCGCTGCCACTAAACCAAAACCCTAACCCTCAACCCCCAACCCTCAACCCTAAGCCCTAAACCCTAAACTTAAACTCTAAACCCTAAACCCTACACCCTAAGCCCTAAACCTGAAACCTAAACCTATAACCCTTTACTCTACACCCTGAACCCTAATCTATAATCGAGGCTCGCCCTGGCCAGTTTAAGAATAGATCTAAACACACATCTACCACCGTGACGGAGGTGCTGTGGGCACGGGCTGCTGGGGGCTGTTTGGGGAAGGGATCCAACCTGGACCTCTTCCTTAAACAGCCCCCAGCAGCCCTCCTGGAAGAAACGGCCAACACTGGCGCGGCAGGCAGGGACGTTGAGGGTTTAGGGTTTTCAGGGTTGTAATATTTGGCCAAGTGTCCTTTTGAAATTTCCAATCGCCCTGGTACTGCGTGACAGCACAAAAGATGCGTTTGGGTTCACCGCCCGGGGATTTCACAGTCACCCCGTCTCGCAAGAGACGGTTCAGGGAGTCCGCAACCTTGAGCTTGCATTATTGTCCCGAAGCTGCTAACAATCGTACCACATCTGAACGTGAGTCGAGTGCTGGTCAAGGCACATGCCCCAGGAAGGCGTTCAATGTTTGGGGAGCAGCACCCTTTGCCTTAGTGTGTACATATATAGGGTTTAGGGTTTGGGTTTCGGGTTTATAGGGATTTCGGATTTAAAGGTTTAGGGTACACAAAACCCAAACTACTGACATCGACTCTGACGTATACCTGGCCAGACTCTACCATTTCGCCAAAGGGACATGCTGATAGACACAGATCGGCCAACAGACAAGCAGAGCATTCGTGCCAGTTTCCAAAACACGGCCAAAGCTTATGGTGACCAGCTTATCTTGAGTGGTCTCTGTGAACTGGGCATCATCTCCCCATAGCCACAATGGAATGTGTCGAGAGGTTGCTCCCCTGAAAGGGATGCCCATGTTGGACATGTGCTGCCAATATTCGGCAACCTCCACCTCAGCATCCTCACCTACAGGGAATGCGCCACGTTCAACCAGCCACGGAATCAGGGCATCCGGAAGTACCATGGGCATCGACCTGGCTGAACCCTAAACTCTAAACCCTAAACCCTAAACCCTAAACCCTAAACCCTAAACCCTAAACCCTAAACTTAAACCCTAAACCCTAAACCCTAAACCCTAAACCCTAAACCCTAAACCCTAAACCCAAATTTGATTCGGATTCGATTTCGGAGATATATCTGCTATTTCAACATAAAGGGCTTGAAAGCTGGTGCTAGGGGCAGGGCTCAAGTACAATCTCGTCATTGGAGTTGCGCATCGGGATAGGAAATTCCTTCATCGGGACCTTGGAATAGAATTCGACTGTGAATGTATACTTGGGTGAGTTGGAGACACAACAACAGAGAGTAGAAACAATACTGATCTGGGAGGAACCTGATTTAGGCTAGGGGCCCCATATCTGCGACACCTGCGCATCATATTCCGCTGATGATTCGAGCTCCACTTGTCGGATCCCTCCAAGAGTTCCCCTGCAGCACCATCAATCTCCAGGCCACGATCATGGAACTCCTGCAGCATCACTAGCTACATTAACCAACACTAGATACATCGTTGCCATCGCTCTTTCAGATGATCTAGCGAGAATAGTACTAGTACAACATACCTTACTATCGACTCCTGGCGGACAGCCTCCAGCATCTTTCGAGCCCCATTGAAAGAAGCATCCTCAGCATTGGGCAGGTGAGATCCATGGAAGCTATGGCTTGGAGAGAGGCTTGGGGGGGAGGGGCCAACACGAGCGCTTCATTTAGGTTTGGGTACTTTAAAATTTGCTCCAATTAGAAACCTAAACCCTTCCCCTGAATCTTCAACCCTAAACCCTAAATGCTGAAGTTTGGGATGTGTAGATCAGGATCCAAAGGAGAGGGGGGGGGGGGGGGGGGGGGCAGTTGGGCAGAACGGTGTTTCAACTATCATGAGAGTTCAGGGTTTGGGGTTTCGGGTTGGGGGTTGTAGGGTTTAGGGTTGCCCAAATGGAAGACGAACCTGGCCCCGGAACTCAAACCATTTCGGCTTGGCGTCACCACTGCCAACACTCTTCAAGACATAGCGGTGCAGTGGGGTTGTTCGAGGACCTCCAACATGACCTGCGTGGCGCGCAAAGCTAGCCAGTGATATGGGAACCCACGGGAGCGCGACTAAATCAAAACAACAGTAGCGAAGCAAGCCCTGACGTTGCATCATTGTTTTCAGCTGCAGACAGGAATTGCAAATGCTCGCGATCGACAAAGATCAAGCTTTTAAACACCCAAGGGGTTGCGCAGGACCACGCACGGTTGCTTTAGGTTTTACCCAT